TTGGTAAGGATGTAGAGAAATTGGACATTTGTGCATTGCTGGTGGAAATGTAAAATGGTACAGCCTTCAAAGATGATTAACAGAACATAATGTATGTCTTTTCTCCTTCAGATAAGAAAGAGATCAAGGACTTGGGAACCAGATAACCCCTTCATGAGAATCCTTGTTCAGCTCGGCCAGCGTGACTCAGTAGTTGAGCAATGACCTATGAACTAGGAGGTCACAGTCTGATTCCCGGTCAGGGCACATGCCCAGGCTGTGGGCTTGATCCACAGTATGGGGCATGCAGGAGGCAGCCGATCAATGATTCTCTCTCATCATTGATGTTTCTATCTCTCTTTCTGTCTCCCTTCCTCTCTGAAATCAATAAAAATATATATATATTTTTAAAAAATCCTTGTTCACCAACTGTGTGATTTTGGACAAGTTACATAACCTCTCTGAGTTTTAGTTTTATAAGAGGGACTATCTTATCTCACAAGGTTGTCATAAAAAGTTCATTAAACTAAGAATCCAACAATGTACAAAAAAGTACAGAATTATCTTTCATATTCTACCCACTCTTTAATAACCTGCTAAAAGTTACCTTCTTTATGTTTTCCGTAACATTCTAAGCCAAAGTAATTTTTCTCTGTACTTCCAAAGTATGTTGCATATTACCCATCTGAATAAAGTCACATTTCTGAACCCTCAATTATAAGAGAAAGTGAATTTAAGATTGTATTATGGTTGCAGTTAACAACCCTCATCAGGAAGAAATTGGGCTAAGGAATACTTGAAACTGGTTTAACTATTTTTAAGTGTTCATATTAAAAAGCTTAGAATCTTTATTCATGTCTAAGTCAAGGTCCAAAATAACTTTCCAAATTCCTCCCCCACTATATGCATGCACAGATCCAACAGACTAACCCTGACTTTGTTCAGATAGTATTATCCTCCAGAAGCCTCCACACCACACCAACCTCTCAATACACGAGTATCTATCTGATTCAGCCATTAAAGCCCAACTTCTCTGAAGCCACTTCTGATGTCCCAGGGAAATTTTCTAATTCCTTTAAAATAACAGAACATTGTGCTTAAGTCTCAATTTTGTAATTTAAAGACCACTAATTTCATATGCGTCTAGTCCTCTCCCTTACTAGACTGAAAGTTTTCATGGTCAGGGAAAGGAAAATCTCTTACCCTCCTGGCATTCTACTTTGGTCTTTCCCCAATCCCAACACATAGTGCAATGCCTATCAAAACGAAGAAAATCAAAACATATTTAATGAATTACATCTACTCTCCTCTAATACCATTGAAGCTTCTTAAGGAATAGAGAAAATGAAAAAAAATAAAAAATAAATTGACACAAACTTCAGGTACATATTCTTAATTAAAATTGTAGATAAAGAACATATAAACTGCCCATGTTCATGTAATAGAATACTGTGTATTGACAAAAGCAAACAATCTAATGGATGAATCTCACAAACATTATTTTGAGTGACAGAAGCCAATCAAAAGAAATATGTTAAATGATTCCAATAATATCAACTCCAAGAACAGAAAAAAACTAATCTATTCTATTAGAAATCAGGATAATGGTTAACCTTGGAAGAGGGTGTAAAGGACAGGCTTTGGGAATGCTAATAATACTCTATTTCTTGGTCTTTCAACTGACTACCAAGGATCAGTTCAATTATGAAATACCATAATGTTTGTATTTTTCCAATACAATATTAATATCTCAAAAAGTTTTTAAAATAGAGTTGAAATACTTATCATTTTCTGTGTTGTGAAAAAAATGGTAAGGCTAGGAATGCATCTAAAAGCCTAAAGGGCTCTGGCCATGCGGTAAGTTGGTTGGAGAGTCAACCTGTGCACCAAAAGGTTATAGGTTCAATTCCTGGTCAAGGCACATTCCTAGGTTGCAGGTTCCATCCCTGGTCAGGATGTGTATGGGAGGCAACAAATCTATGTTTCTCTCTCTCACCTTCCTCCCACCCTTCCTCTCTCTCTAAAAATCAACAAAAAGTACATCCTTAAGTGAGGATTTTTAAAAATAATAAAAATTAAATAAATAAGAAAAAATAAAGGCCTAAAGGTACTACTTACCCATTGTAGAAATTTTAAATATAACTACCTACAGGAGACCAAGGCATAATTCTGCTAATGATAATAAATTTATGTTACTTACTGCCCTTAAACTAACTCTTCGCTGTCCTTATTAAAACATCTTTTTTTAAAGAGATAAATTAAAGTTTACATTAATTGCTCAATACTGCTCTTATCAAACAATGATCACTGTGTCATTTCCACCATATCCTACATATTTCACTCCTATTCGTAGGAGCTAAAAGAACTAAATGTTAACCTGATATAAACAATAATGAAAAATTTGTTAAAAGTTTATTTTTATATATTTAGAAATTATGTAATATAGAATGAAAGACAAAATATTTTGAAAAAATAAATGCTAAGAAACTGGAATTTACTAAAAGCTTGTTCATTGAGACTAAAATAGAAACATTTAAATGAGAGAGGGATAATTTATTTTCAATGTTACTTAAACCATATATTTATTAGCAAGCCTAATTAAAATAAATGGTAGTTAGTCTGAAACTTTATAATTAAAAACTGAAATTAAAAATATTTTTAAACAAGAAGTATAGGATATCTTGCTGATTTACAATGCTAACTCCAACACACCAACTAAAATTTTTTCAATGAGCTATAAAATGTCCTTGTTTCAAAAGCTGTGGCCTGGCCCTAAAAAGTTTGGCTTAGTGGATAGAGCGTCGGCCTGCGGACTGAAGGGTCCCAAGTTTGATTCCAATCAAGGGCATGTATCTTGGTTGCGGGCATATTCCCAGTAGGGGTGTGCAGGAGGCAGCTGATGGATGTTTCTCTCTCATCAATGTTTCTAACTCTCTATCCCTCTCCCTCTCTCCCTGTAAAAAATCCAATAAAATATATTTTTTTTAAAAGCTGTGGCCTGTACTAAATATGCTCTTCTCTTTACTGAATGAAATATATACACAGCATCATATATGTATTTTAAGAAACTGAAATGTGAATTTTAAAAATCCAAATGAAAGCAGCTTATATAATCTGAGGAAGGGAGAGACCATGAATGGGAACAGGGTTGACATTTAATGACATAACCAGGGAGCCTTACTAAAAAAATCCTCACTTACTGCATCAGTTAAATAAAACTCTCGGTTCCCATGTGATTTTGATTTAATTCCAGCACTACTTGATGCATTTTATCTGTATTTTATTTGCTTAATTTGACTAAGATATATCTCAATGTATTAAGACTTGTATTTACTACTTTCAATTTAGAATTGCTAACAACAGATTATAGTTTACATTCTATTTATTAAGGGAAACAATTTGAAGAAATTATTTCAAAGCAATATATTTCTGTAAAATATAGCAAAATATCATTGAAATAATGAGAAGTGGTCTTAACTACAAAAAAAAAGCAAATCATATCCAAACAACTATTTGCATTCTGTGATCTTATGCTTTTAGTATTAAATTAGAATATTTTCTTTCAGATGTCAGCAGACATATTTTAAATCACATCTAACAATATTTATAGTAAGCCCTATACATCCTTAAAATAAACCTTACCTATTTAAATATTCAATATTTTTCATATAAAGGCTATAATTCATTTTGGAAATTTTGGGTTTTCACTTTTAAAAGTTGTTAAGCAACTTTTATAGTAAACTGCAGTGTTTCTAATAAAATTTCAGTGTTATGAATAATAAATCAACACATAATTGAGAAAACAGTATTCACAGATATCTATTAAAGTTGATATCAACCAGGACATATCATACGGTATTTCTTAATAAATTAGAATATAAAACTTGACTCAAATACAACATGCTATGTATACACAAATAAAATGTTTCAAACGTAAATCTCTAAACAACATAATAAATGATATATGAGGAATATGAATGATTAGCACAAAATTTAAACTATCAAGTAAAAATAAGAATAATCATTTAATAATGTTTTCATTTAATAGAAGAACTGGTTCCAAAACTTAATTAACTGCAATTTCTGTATTTTTAAATTTCTGGATCAGTAGTAAATTTCTTTGAAAATGTGAGCATTTACTTTATAAATTTCATTCTAAAAGTTATATATTATTAAAGAAACATCATCAGCAAATGACTTTAGATATAAAAAATATCAATTTTCTGAAAGTTATGTTGCTTTTCAAAATAACTAATTAAAACTCATCCTGTAAGCTTACTAATTAGGATGAGAAAGCAAAGATATATTTCAAATAATTGAAATAATCTCAATTTTAAAATGTAGAAATATTAGAATATAATTTCATATATTTAAATCTTATCTCGTATATTTAAACAATTATTTCTTGAATATATTAAAAGTATTGCTTTCATCTAAAAAATGGTTATGATAAGTAACTATTGGCTTTTTTGCTATAAGTCTCTTTGAGTTTAGGAAAATATGACCTCCAAATAAAGTAACCCAATACTGAATGATAAATAATATTCAAATTGATTTCTTCCAAATGCAATGACTACACATATATATGTCAAATATTTTAAATGTATGTAATGGCTATGAATACACATAAAATTGTTATTTAGTTGATAAATACTTTGGCCTTAATATTAACATGCAACGTTTCGTTACTCTTTGTCTGTATTCTCTCAAAGAGAGAAAAAAAAATGTATTTGCCCTTGCAGTTCCTATTACATTATGAAGCAGCAACATTTTACTATAGCTCCAACATGGATTAGCAATTATAACCCGGACAACAGTTATGACTACCACAAAAGATATTATAACCAAATACACAAATATTAAAGAGATTTTTAGTGTCTCCTTAAAAGACAGAATAAATTCAGATATTTTCCCAAGGTTTTGTATAAAACCAACACACTGACATAAAACAGATTCAACTAGCTTTTCCCTCCTAAGATAATAAATAAAAACTATCATAAACCACATTTCAACATACTTACCAGCATGTGGGTAGTTTCAGAAGTTTAACATACAGAGCAGTGCTGAAAGAGGGAATAATTGGTACAGGTAAGCAGTAAGATCCCCTACAATCCAAAGACGTCAGTCCTGCCTGGAAACCAAATATCTAAAACAAAAAGAAAAGATCCAAATGTTCACAGAGACAAAGTTTTAATAAGCACAGGATGGAATACGTCAGTTTCAATTTGCTCTACAACAGCTGCACACTAAATATGTTCCAATGTCTTTTTCCACTTCCCAAACACCAACATTTTTTTATTCATTTTGACATTAAGTCAGAATTAAGAAATTTAAATATACAGTATTTCTTTCACAGCCCTGTTCTTTTTGTGACTAATTTTAAGGCTGCCATTTCTATATTTAATTCTCATTTAGTGTTTTATTATCTACTAAAATGCACATCTTTTCTATTAATATAAACAACTGACTACATTGTGCACATTGTAGATATTAACTTTAATAAATCACTATTCATATCATTTTGTGTCTTAAAGAACATGAACTACATCAAGAAGAATCCTAATAATGTATTTTGCCTTCAACTTACATTATGTACACAAAAAGAATATTCAAATATATCCTAAAATGTTATATCTCTTCCCTTTTGTGTATGAATATAATTGTTGAGCTGAGATTTGTAACCCAGAAAATTTGGAACAGAAATCACTCCTCTTATGTTTATATTTAAAACGAGCAGATCACACTCAAAAATTTTATAAGCATTCCCTAAAATGTCTGAACACTATATTTGCTTTAATGAGAAAAATCAATGTAACAGAATATTTTACATAAAACATTGCAGAGAACTAAATATGATATGTCTGCTCCAATTATTTCCAATCAGGTAAAAGCAAACATCTCGAACAGAAAATACTGATACACAGGAATACGAAACAAAGAATTACTATTTTCCAACAACATGCAAAAGCAGCTTAACCCCAACATTTAACTTTCATTATTATTTTTTATTCCTTGGGTTTATAAAGCATGAACTTTCCTACCTCTAAGATTAACAATAAATGCTACATGCCATAGTAAAACATGTTTAAAAATTCTCAGTAACTAATTTTCAAAATAACTTTCATGTAATGAACATAAATCAATAATCAATTTCTTAGAAAGTATTAAGCTACTTCCAAATGATTTCAAAAAGCTATTATGCCCTTAATCCTTCATCAAACTTACAATGGCAAATCCTTTCCTCTAAAGTCAGTTTTCAGGGAACAAAATAATTTTACGGAAATAGGACATTAGTTAGAATTATGTACTTTCAGAGAAACCTGCATTTCAAAGGTAGGTCCTATCTAGTTTACTATCAAGAAAAATGATAGTAATACATTAATTAATATATTAATATTAATATATTAATTCCTCTAAGTCCTGCTATTAAGACAAGTGACAAAAAGAAACAGAATTGAGAATAAAATGAAAACATGTTTCTAACACTTAAATGATCAACGTTAAAAATTAAGTTATTCCACCTTCATTCCCTTTGAAGACTTATTCTAAGCAACACTAAGTATACAAAGAACTTCTGGGCACTGTGCAATTTCCACATTTCATATTTCTTCTGAAAGGCCCATTAAAAATTCTGAAATTTGTAATTATTACCACTAATTACAAAACATGATTATTAAAATATGCCCAACCTCCAACTATTTCTAGAGTGTGCCTATGGATAATGTTTTATCTCAACAGATTATCCAGCTAACAGGTCTCTCAAGCCACTTTTTCATATTCTATAAAATGCCCCAACAGTATAATCACAGACACTATCATTAACTATACTCAGATGGAAAGTAGGTGTAGAGGAGATCCCCTGCTGGCTACTTGCAGAACTGCAAAGAACTTTGGAGAAACTACATATTATTCTGTAATATTTCTGAAGTTTTTACTAAATTTACATGTTGTCCAGAGATGCTTCTAAGAGAACATTCAAACAAAAATCTATAATAATAACAAGGTAATATGCTAATTAGACCAGACGTCTTCTCAACATCATTCTGGACGTCCTTCCTGACAAAGCCGGAGCGGGGGGGAAGCCAGCCTGGGTCCCGGGTGACTACAGGCCAGAGGAGGGAAGCCCAGGTCCCGGGTGCCAGAGGGAAACCAGTGCCAGAAGCTGGGTCCCAGGTGCCAGAGGGAAGCTGGTGCCAGCAGCCAGGGGAAGGAAGGCCTACTCTTGCACGAATTTTCGTGCATCGGGACTCTAGTAAATTATAATGGAAGAGAGCCTATCTACCACATCAAAAATAATTATTTCAATATAACCAATTTTCAACTCTTTCCTTTAAATTACAGCAATAAGATACATAGATTTACAATACCTATATAACCTAATACCTTGTCAACACCCTTGACCAAGATTACATATATTGCATCTAGAAAAAGGAAAACTAGCACAGTATGAATTGAGGCTGCTTTCAGCAAGGATAGTTAAAATGTTCAGAAATGGAATAAAAGTTTTTAACACTGCAAACTAACAGTCTGAAGCAGTTAAAACTGTATGAAACAGTAAGCACTGATAGAAATTTTAGCTGAAGGAAATGTCAACTTGAATAAGATGAATTATACAATACATTAAATGAAAAGTTAAACATACAGTGCCATCTCTTTTTTTAAAAGTCCGACAATGTAAATATAATATGTACTGTAACACTTAAATACTCTTGAATTAGCATCTCATATAGAAAAAATACAGAATTAGAAGCAAAACAACTTATTTATAATTAGTGTTTAATGGAAATTAGTTGCTAACAGGATTTGCAATAGTAAAAAGACAAAAATATAAAAAGCACACACTAACTATAAGTGACAATGAAAACACATAATTATGCTGTAAAATGAGTTATTTTTATGTGTTGTTATAATAAACTCAGTATAACAGTATAACCAGCATCCTAAAGATTTGTCCCTTTTCTTAAAGGGACACACAAAAATATCCAGCATTACCTTCATGTCAAAAGTTAATCTGTACACAGTAACATAAATGGAATAAATAAAAAGTGAATAAGAAATAAATCTAGACATCTACAGCATAAGAATGAACAGTTGAGGGGAGGGGAAAGGCCTTCCTTAAAGGAGAAAAGAATGGAAACAGACCTAGTTGATTAAAAATTAGAACTTCAGAGGAGAACCAAGATGGAGGCATAGGTAAACACCGGAGACTGCTGCCGCAAACAACCACTTCAAAAATACAACTAAAAGACGGAACGGACATCACCCAGAACCACAGGAAAGCTGGCTGAGGAGAGACTCTTCAACTAGAAGGAAAGAGAACAGCAAACCGAGGCTCAGAAGAGGCGCAGTGTGGGAGAACATACTTGCAAATGTTATCACCAATAAGGGTTTAATCTCCAACATTTACAGGGAACTCATACAACTTAACAAAAGGAAGATAAACAACCCAATCAAAAAATGGGCAACGGACCTAAATAGATACTTTTTGAAAGAAGACAGAAGAAAGGCCAAAAGACATATGAAAACATGTTCAAAGTTACTAATCATCCAAGAGATGCAAATCAAAACAACAATGCGGTACCATCTCACACCTGTCAGACTGGCTATCATCAACAAATCAACAAACGACAAGTGCTGGCAAGGATGTGGAGAAAAAGGGACCCTCATGCACTGCTGGTGGGAATGCAGACTGGTGCAGCCACTGTGGAGAACAGTATGGAGTTTCCTCAATAAACTAAAAATGGAACTCCCATTTGACCCAGTGATCCCACTTCTAGGAATATATCCCAGGAAACTAGAAACACCAATTAGAAAGGATATATGCAACCCTATGTTCATAGCAGCACAATTCACCATAGCTAAGATTTGGAAACAGTCTAAGTACCCTTCAGTAGATGAGTGGATTAAAAAACTGTGGTACATCTGCACAATGGAATACTATGCTGAGGTAAAAAAGGAGTTCTTACCATTTGCAACAGCATGGATGGAACCTAAGAGCATTATGCTAAGCGAAATAAGCCAGTCAGAGAAAGATAAATACCACATGCTCTCACTCATTTGTGGAATATAATGAACAACATAAACTGATGAACAAAAACAGATCCAGAGAAGCATCGATCAGACCATCAAACCTCAGAGAGAAGGTAGGGGAGGGTGGGGGTAAGAGGGAGAGATCAACCAAAGGACTTATATGCAAGCATATAAGCCTAACCAATGGACACAGACAACAGGGGGGTGAGGCCATGAGTCGGGGAGATAGGGGGTAATGTGGGGATAAGGACACATATGTAATAACTTAATATAATAAAAATAAAAAATTCACTTTTCATACCTTAAGGTAGCAGTGTGCATAGCAATAATGAAGCAGATTATCAGAAGGCTGAGTAAGGCTGCTGACCACCTGCACCAAACGTTCAGCATACATTGGCACAGAATGTTCCAGATTAATTTTATCCACCAATATCTGAATAGATGGTAAAGGCCGAAGAGGTTGGAAGTTTGTCGTATTCATGAAGTTACTTGAGTTCTGGAAAATAAGAGTGTTCCTTCGTATTTCAGAACAGTGACTGATGTGCAATGTCCTCTATATAAGCTTCAGACTAGCACATTTTACAGTGATATCAAATCAACCTAGAAATGATGCCTTTCTATGGGACTCTTATCAAAACCAAATACGATATTCAATAGTCTGTTCCATGCTTCTATGTCTCTGGATCTATTTTGTTCATTAAGGCGGGGGTGGGTGGGAAGAAATTAACCAAAGAACTTGTATGCATATATGCACAACCTATGGACATAGACAATAGTATGGTTAAGGCCTGGGCTGGGGAAGGCTGAGAAGGGGGCACACAGGGGGAGGCTAAAATGGGGGGGGGGGGGAGGATGAGGAATCTGTAATAATTGCAACAATAAAGACAAATTTTTAAAAAATACAAAACCTAGTACATATTTTAAGTATGTCCCAGATTTCAAAAAATATATATCTATTGCAAAATTATCAATGCACCTCTTAACTAAAGCTTTTTTATTTTTTCAATCAACTGTAATAGTGCCATTATGTGCCTCAGTACATTTCCAAAGCATAATCATTCCAAAAAAATTTACTAGATATCCCAGAGCCAGGCATCTTTCATCTTCTTTCCTTCTATTCATATTTAGATAACTAAGGGACTAAGTGGACTACTTCAGACAGTTTCAAAAATACTTTTAATAAGCAAGTTTACAGAACAGAAAAATGTCTGATCCGTATCATATCTATTAATAATACACATACTAAAGGCTCATAAAGTCCTAAGAATCTCAAGATAGGCTTAGTATTTTCAGTGTTTCAAAGTACAGAACTTTTCTAAGCTTCAAAATAAATGCATGTAAGTTTCCAGGTGTTCAGAATATCAACTCTGATTGACAAACAATCTATTATCTTAGAACTTACTCTCTTATAATGCCATCCCTGCTGTTCTCAAAAAGGAACACTCTGACCTTATACCCAGAGATACGTGAAAAAATGTGGGAAGAGCAGTTTCACTGTTTTGTTTTGTCTGTCTTTCACTGGGAAGCAGTACTAGCATTTAGAAGCCCTTAACGATGGTAAATGCTACTTAATACTCCTCTAGTTCAAAAAATCAATAGTGCAATTATTGAGAACCACTGTAACTAAAATTGACTAAATTGAGTTTACAATCCTGAAATTTTGACTATTAATCATAATTTTTAAACCACCATCTATCAAGCAATTACTTTATTTTTAAGTGAGTTTATTTTGAATTACCAAGATATAACATACAGTAGAGCACACAAATCTTAAGTGTAGCGCTCAACAATTTTTTACAACTGACATTTCAAGTACCTTAGAAAGCTCTCTTTTGTTCCTTCTCAGGCAATATTGAGGTAACTAATATTCTCACTTCAATCATCATAGATTAGTTTTGCCTGTTTTTGACCTTCATATAAATAGAATCATAGAATATATACTCATGTCTGCCTGCTTTCATTCAACATAACATTGGTAAGAATTATCTGTTTTTCATTCCTTGAGTTGACACTTTTATCATTATGAAGAGGTTCTCTTTATTTATAATTCTTCTTGTCTTGGCTCTAAATTTGCTGATATTAAATTAGCCATACAATCTTTCCTTTGATTAGCATTTAAATAGAATATCTTTGTCCATCCTTTTACTTCTAACTTGTGTCATAATTTTCAGTTCTAGAACTTCATTTGGTTCTTTTTTTTATGGACTGGGGTTTCTTTTGAACTTATTCATCATAGTTACTTTAAAGTTCGTGCTTAATATTGACATATTTTAATTTTCTCCATTGAAATTTTCCTCAGGTTATCTCTTTACCTAGCAACACAATAACTAATTATGAGTAGCCAACTGAGAGCAAAATGAAACTACTGCATCATAGTCAATTCCATGCCATACTTCCAAAAGTTCTTATTTAAAGTTAGGATATTTTTTATTTCTCTAATTTTCATCAGTATGTAGACATCAAAAGAAATATAAGCAAAAAATAATAACTTAAACATATCAGATACCTTATATGCATGTGGCAAACTCAGAAAGCAAGACATTGTATACTGACCTAAACAAATATTAAACATTTAATAAGTCCTCATCCTATATAATAAAGAGCTAATATGCTAATTAGACTGGACGGTAGAACGACCTTCCGGAAGACCAATGGGCGGGGGGCAGGGCCATGGGGTCATGAGGCAGCCGGGGCTAAGAAGGCCTATCCTTGCACGAATTTCGTGCATCGGGCCTCTAGTTAACAATAACAGTAGTAATCACTGGGTTTCTAATATGCGCAAAATGGTTTACATGTATTATCTCATTAAATATTCAAAATAATTCTATAAGTTAGGTACTACAGAGGAACTGCTCTGTGCCAGCACCCTGACAGTTTTTCACAAATCCATGTAGACCACACAGGCGAGGCTCAACTTTAGCAGAGCTAAGTCTTGGTAGAACATCCTGTGATAGCTCTCAGAACAAGAGATTAGTGGTTTTGTAAGGAGCTGTTAAAAGACCATTTCTCACTCACCTCATCTTGAGAGAGGCTACTATGAAACATTTTCTCATCAGCCTCATTCAGGCGAGATAAGGGACTTTCCACCTACCCATCATAAGAGCATACCTGTAGGCTATAATACCGCTTAGCTGCAGTATAGAATTGAACCCTATGAACAGGGTAACCTACCAGTATGTTAGATGTCAGTTGGCCCTCTGGTTTCAGGATTATCCTCCTGAAGGGAATGCAAGCTGACACCATTATGAGTTGCTTTTGCTGTCTCTGTAAGTAATAAACCATTTAATATCTGTACTTGTTGCTTCTTTACTGGCTGAATCTGTCAGCCCACTTGAAAAATACAGCTAGGATATGGTCTGACTTCTAGACTCATGCCCTCCAAGATTTCCTTACATAGCCTTAGCTTAAGGTTATTGTATTTAAATATATAAAAGTTACTCTCTAAGAAAAAGCAATCATAGTTACATTGATTCAACTTTATAATGGATAATTACATAAGCAAATATTCTTTTACTTAATCACCTTCCTCTTACAATATCACAGAGCCAACAAATATGGAGATATGGAAAAACGAGTAGTAAACCACAAAATATACCTTTTCTCCCATAATGACAGGTAGCAAATGATCCAGCAAATTGAATTCAGCCATAAAAATTGTGCAGGTACATTTGAGGAGAGTAATACTTGTATGTCGAGTAGGAATATACTCCTCCAAAGATGCCACTTCTTCCAAACTCAGTATTGTTTCATTTTCATCTTTAATATCTAAAATGAAATAAAATTTCAATTAAAAATTTTTAAATAATTGATTTTCTTAAATTACTGAAAAATTCATCGGCTTCCCGAACTTTAAGGTCAAATTCTATTTTTCAACAATAAAGCAGTTGTTAAATAATGTTTCTTTAAATCAATATGAATTAAATTACTCTAGAATATAAATGTATTTGCTACATAAAATTTTATATTTTTATTCTTAAATGTTTTTAATATTTTAAAGAAATTCCCAATCTCTTTTGTCAAAGGAATAACAGCTTCTATTCATGAAAACACCATTAAGATAATGTAAAAGCCAGCCAGACAGGGAGAAAATATATCCCATAGATAGACAGATACATAGACAGACATAAATATCTACATAAAGGACTTGTACCTACAGCATATTCAAAATAAAAAAAAAATGTTAAACCCCCTAAAAATCAATAATAATAAACAAACAACTCAATAGAAATATGGCCCAAAAAATCCTTGAATAAGCAAAAGACAATATATCCAAATGGCCCAAAATCCTATCAAAAGCTAGTTACTATCATTAGGCATCAGATAACTGCAAATAAAGTCACAATGTGATAGAACTACAGATCCATTACAAAAAATTAATACAATAGAGAGCTGGTTCTTTGAAATAATTAATAAAATTGACAAATACCTGGCTGGCCTGACTAAGGAAAAAAGAGAAAAGATCCACATAAACAAAATCAGAAATGAAAAAGAAGTTACCACACAGACTGTCAAACCACCTCAGAAGGAAGGAGGGGGCGGGGATCAACCAAAGGACTGACATGCATGCATATAAGCATAACCAATGGACACAGACACTAGGTGGGTGAGGGCATGTGCTGGTGAGTGGAAGTGCCCGGGAGAGGTCAATGGGGGGAAAGGAGACATATGGAATACTTTAAACCAGCAGTTGCCAACCAGTGGTCCATGAGGTCCGAAAGTTTGGCACCCACTGCTAAACAATAAAGAATTAAAGAAAAAAAAATCAAGCACACAGCCGATCCATGATTCTCTCTTATTATGGATGTTTCTCTCTCTTCCTCTCCTTTCCTCTCTGAAATCAATAAAAGTATTTTTTTAAAGAAATTAGTACATATGTTTAACAAAAGGCATGTACTAGAATGTTTTTGGCATCAGTATCATAATAACTGAAAACTAACCAAATACTAATAGTAAAATGGATAAATAAGTTATAATATAATCACAAAATGGGATACTATCCTGTAATGAGAATAAATCTCATGTACATAATGTCAACTAAAGCCAGAGACAAAAGAGTACATACTGTGTGATTCCATTTACATGAATTCTAAAATAAACAAAGCAAAACCTATGATGTTAGAAGTAAGGAGAGTGGTTACCCTGGGGGTGAGAGTAGTAACCAGAAGAGGGCACAAAGAGACTTCTGGAGTGCTGGTAAGCATCCATATCTTGAACATTTACACAAATGTGGTTAAGTTTGCGAAATTCACAGAACTATACCCTTAGGTTTTATGTGCTTTCCAATATGTGTATTACACTTCAACAAATAGCTACCAAAAAAGTGGAGAACTGCTAACTACTTGAGATTTAATGCCTGTGCACTAGTACAAATGTCGTAAATATTCAGGGTTTGGCAAAAGTAGGTTTACAATTGTTCACATGGAAAAAGACATGCAGGTTATTATCACAGTAAAATTTTCATATATTCACAACTGGAAACCTACTTTTGCTCACTGCTGTATGTATATACAGACAGCTCTCGCTTTATACCATTCTGATATGCACGAATTTGTTTAAAAATGCCAGTTCCCAAAAGCACAGTTCAAATATCAGTTACCACAGTATAATTACTGTAACTAACTGCATAAAGTATAAACTTCACTGCTAGTTGTTCAGCCCATAAATCACTTTCATAAATAAGAGATGAGCATCATGATCAGTGACCAATCATGTCACTTCTTTCCAAGTTTGTCAGGTTTGGTTACTAGTTACTGGTATCTGTTATATTTAGCTCATGCATGGATAGCAAAGCATGTGGTTGTATTGCTTCTTTGATTACTAGTGATAAATCTGCATGACATTTTACAAAAATTAATAACTGAAACAGGGAACTGGCAGTCAAAGATGAAAGTGCAGCAACCAAACACAAACCGATAATGTTGGAAATTGAAATTTTAATTGAACATAACTGGTGTTACAGAATAGCTGACCATGGAAATATTGATACTGCATGCTTGGAGAGACTAGATATGCAGCTAAGGGAGTTTAGTATAATTTAGGATAACAGCAAATATGCTGTGATAAAAATAAAATTTAAAAAGTGTTAACAAAAACAGGAGCTTATTTCTCTTTCACAGAACAATCTGAGTCTCAAGGGTCAGAGCAGACATGGCGCTTCCACACTACGAAGACTCAGGCTCTATCTTACTGCTCTGTCCCATGCAGCATGCAGCTTTCACTCAGGGTCTAAGAGACAGCTACAGCGCCTGTCATTATAATTGCTTTCCTGCCAGGAGGGGCCAGTAGGAAAGGAATGCATGCTCTTTACCTTTATATCCTGGCCTAAGAATTCATATGAAGTTCTGCACCAACCTCAGTAGCCAGAATCTAGCCATATGACTACACTTGGGGTATGTAATCTTTATTTCTATCAAAGAAATTTATTTTACTATAAAATAACAGGAGAATGGATATTGAGAAGACAATTTAACCATCTATCACAATAATTAATTTAATTATAGACAAAGAAAAATGAAAAATCAGTGGTGTTAATTAAATTTCCTTTGGTCAATAATAAGTGGGAGTCAGAATTCAAACCATAGTCTGACCCCATACGCTGAGTTCTTTACTGTCCCTTACACTCTCATTGTGCTATTACATCCTACTCTATAGTACTTTATTATATAAAAAAGAAATTTATATTTTATGAAACTGATAACCACATCTTCATGCCATGTAGCAAAACTTCGTTGTACAGCAAATTCTTTTTTTACCAGTAAGATCTAAGTTTTCCTGAATACTAAATGTGTATGTTTAAAGCACATCTTCATGTCTGCTCTTTAGAATCCACCAGCGTAGAAAAATGGTCACATTTCAAGAGTATTCACTGGAAAGAGTACCAAAAAGGTGTGACATTAAAATATCGACAAATACTGGCAAATAAGTACTTATTCAAATAACTCCCTAATCTTGACCTCTCCCATAACTTCTATATACAAGTTTATTTTTTAAATTAACAACAAAATACATGAAAGTCAGATAGGCAAACTTTACTAAAAAGGGTAAGTTAGCAAAATATTAAAAAAAATAGATTATATAATCATTCAAATCAATTGGCAAGAGATTCGAAATTAAGATAAAAACAAACCTGGTTTTAGCCCACTATACGGTTCATATTCGTGTTCCAAGGCACAAACAATCATTTTCAAAATTCTATGTACTGCACTGCTATCCAAGCGAAAATCAAGAGGACCTATAACAAGGCTTTTGGTAGACTTCTCCTGAACTATTCCCAAATCTTCACTTTTTCCTAAAGAAAAGTCTTGTTGATTTGCAGAACCTAAAAGAAGCCAAATTTTATATTAATATTTTTGGCATCAAACATACCAAGTATACATTTTAATATTACTCTTCTCTCATCTTTTTTAGCTTATAGCTTAATGCCTTAAAACCAATTCTCCATCAGTTGCATACACAGAACTTTGCTGATCTATAATTTTCTCTAGGCAGATGAGAAGATACTATCACCAAAAAACAACCAATTCAAAATAAATTTTTCCTGTTATCTATTTCTGTTATAAGAAGTGCTATAAAATTTAAAGTCATTCTTAGAAATTTATTCTTTCAAATCTAATTGCTTATATCCAATAATTCTACACACAATGCCATTATGTTGAGTGGGAAGGGGGACTGGAAGAAGTTGCATTTTACCACTATTTTAATCTAATAATTTCACTGAAAATTAGACTGTTTAAAATTACATGATCACACGATACCATGACAGTTCTATAATGACCATAAAAGTGAATAATAGGTAGCAATTGTTTTGAAATCTTTCCAGAATAAAATTATCATGGTCGTGCTCCATGATGCAGAATCCAAGTTCCTCAGTCCCTTATCTACCTATATACTGAAGAGAAGATAGAAAATGGGGAGAAGCAATAGACAATAAGGTGGTTATAAGGCAGAGGTCCTCAAACTTTTTAAACAGGGGGCCAGTTCACTGTCCCTCAGACATTCCACACATGCGCACTGCGGGCCCGGGACGAGTCGGCTGCTAAGCAGGACAGGCAGCGGCGGCAAAAACACCTGGCGGGCCAGATAAATGTTTTCGGCGGGCCACATGTGGCCCGTGGGCCGTAGTTTGAGGACCCCTGTTATAAGGATAATGATAATTCAACTTTGGACATATTCAGTTTTGAGATATTTTTGAGACAAAGTGAAAATGTCAAGTATGCATTGGATATTTAATTGTAAACCTTAAAGAAGGAAAAATATGTAAAGTATATGATTGTCTAACCACTCAGCTATATACCAGAAACCAATACAAAATAAAATTGAGAGGGGGAGAAAAAAAAGTTTGGACTAAAAATACAATATGGGCATTATCAAAATATACTTAAATCCAAAGAATGAGATTACTTCAGAGAGAGTTTAGGGAAAGAAGTGGTATGCTGGCCTTGTGGAAAGAGCTTGGAAGTGTTTCTTCCTTTTGGAATTTTTGAAATAGTTTGAGAGGATAGTTGTTAGTTCTCCTTTGAGTATTGGTAAAACTCCCTCCCTATGATGATCCTTCAAGATCAAATCCTCTGTGAAATCTTCAACCGACAGACAAAAGTAGTCACTTACATGGATCTCTCTTAGTTCTCTGTATACACTGTTATTCTTAATATTATTTACTAGAGGCATGGTACACGGATTCGTGTACCGGTGGGATCCCTCAGCCTGGCCTGTGCCCTCTCGCAATGCAAGACCCCTCGGGGGATGTCAGAGGCCTGGTGCATGAATTTGGCCCAATCCCCACAGGCCAGGCCGAGGGACCCCACTGGTGCACAAATCCATGCACCGGGCCTCTAGTATGCATATAAGATGTTTGGTTAATCTCTTCCCACCCCCCCCGCCCCCTCCCCTATGAAATTCATCAGTATGTTCCATGTTTCCATGCCTGTGCATTAAGCGCCTGCCCCTAGTGGTCAGAGCACATCATAGCTACTGGTCAAATGGTTGAATGGTCACTTAGGCTTTTACATATATACATTACTAGTGCCCTGGTGCACGGATTCGTGCACATTGAAAGAAAATTAATTAGAAGGTGGCTGGTGGGGAGGGACTGGGCAAGACAGGCTGGACACACCCAGGAGTCAACCTCCTGCGGTCCCTCCCCGGCCAGCCATACCCTGGGGCGGCGCCACAGCTCAAAGGGTGTCTGAGGAGTGAGCAGGGTCCCTCCCGCAAGTAAGGTCCCTCGGCCTGGCCTGTGGGGATTGGGCCGAAACTGGCTCTCCGACATCTCCCAAAGGGTCCCAGATTGCAAGAGGGTGTTTCTCGGGTGATGCACCCTGGAATCGGGCTCCCTCCTCTCTGGTTCCGGGATGCATCACCAAGAACTGCCGCTGCCAAGTCACCGCAACTTGACAGCTCCTGCACTGAGCATCTGCCCCCTGGCAGTCAGTGCACGTCATAGCTACCGGGCAGATGGTCAGATGGTCGCTTAGCCTTTTATATATATAAAAAATCATTTATTTAAGTGCATACTTAAATACTACCTACTGGCTTCTTGAGAAATGTTTTGGTCTTCTTCGCATTCACCATATCTAACTTATCACCTAATAAATAGAAATCATTTTCTTAAATATGAAAAGTTAACCAAAAACATGGTGAACCTATTTTCACTAAGTTTTCAACATGAAAAAAGATTAGAATAATAAGCACAACACTCATATTACTGATGTACACACAAACATAAAATGGTTAAATTTTCAAAAACGTCTTATTGCTAGCATAATCAAATTAGAATAAGAATAAAAACAGAAAGCCCGGCCAGTGTGGCTCAGTGAATTGAAAATTGTCCCATGCACCAGGAGGCTGCTGGTTCAATTCCTGGTCAGAGCACATGCCTGGATTCCAGGCTCAATACCCACTGGAGGGGTCTGCAGGAGGTAGCTGATGAATGTTTCTCTCTCATCAATGTTTCTCTCTCCCCCTCCTCTCCCTTCCTCTCTCAAAAATAAATAAAAACATATTTTAAAAATAAATATCCTCCTATATAATAAAAGGCTAATATGCAAATCAACCAAAGAGCGGAACAACGGGACACTATGATGTGCACTGACCACCAGGGGCAGATGCTCAATGCAGGAGCTGCCTCCTGGTGGTCAGTGCGTTCCCACAGGGGAGCACTGCTCAGCCACAAGCCGGGCTCACAGCTGGCGAGTGCAGAGGCAGTGGCAGGAGCCTCTCCCGCCTTGCAGCAGCACTAAGGATGTCCCACTGCTGGGATGTCCCACTGTTGTTTAACCCTTGGAGTGCCAACCAATATCCTAGGAACTATGCTAAAATTTCCAAGGCATTTTTGCTGATTTCACAGCAGTTTAGGAAAAAAATTATGAATCGCAAGTAAATGAAGTTATATATTCAAAAACTTAAGGAAACCTTTACTACATTGACATATTTAGCAATATCATCATCACTAATAAAAGCAGACTTAGAACTGGACGCCATTTCAAAGCTTTGATAGCGCTCTCGGCACTTTGGCGAAAGACAGGAGGAGTGCGACAGCGCTCCCCAGCACTCTAGGTGCTGGGGGCTAGCCCCAGCAGTCCAGGGGTTCCCAAAGGTGTGGACGGAGTCGGCGAAGGATGTTTTACACAGAGACAGCGTTCAGAACTCTCTAGCTTTCCTTAGTCTCCGTGGATCTTCCCTGTGCCTGGCTGAGGCCACAGAGAAAAGGAGAGATCCCAAGGCAAGCTGAGCCTTTATTTTATAGCGAGAGGTAAACAAGGTAGTGGTTTCTATAGTTACACAGTTCTTGTGAGTTTCACTTGTTTTGACCATAGTTACACTTCCTGCACTTCCCTCAGCCCATTAGCTTCCCAGATAAGATCTAGAGAGCCTCATAAGGTCAAGCCTAATTATGCTAAGAGGACTGTGCCCTCTAAGCTGGGAATTGTTTGTGACTTTGCCCACAGGTCAGTCCGAGGCTTAACCCTATATCAGCTTCCCACATCTAGGGGTTAAGCAGAGAGTGGGCCTAAGCCATTATTCAGACATCCCCTGAGGGCTCCCAGACTGCGAGAGGGTGCAGGCCACGCTAAGGGGAACTCCTAGCCCCCAAGTGCACAAATTTCGTGCACCAGGCCTCTAGCAAAATAATAAAAATAGCTTTATAAAAACAGCCCAAAAAAGGATAAAATACATAATAAAACACTACCTGTCCACAGTTTCTAGAAGATCTTATTCTAACGTTTCTGCTTCAAATAACAAACTTTTTTTAAAAGATCTACATAACCTTCAAAATGTAATTAATACAGAAAAGGAAATATTTACTACTTTTGACAACTTAATGCAATATAAAATTTAATGCATTAAAATTTTAATATTTGATACATAACTAATTCTAGGTGATTATACAAATTGTCTTTTCCTTTCTTTTTATTTCATTTTATTTTTGCCATCACTATCTCCTCTTCCACCTCCACCCACCCTGCTCCCCCCAGCACCGCACAATCACTACACTGTTGTCCATGTCCATGAATTTCAATCAGCTTCACAAAAAAGAGATTAAAAATGTCAAGAATCTAAGAAAATTAACATGGCATTAAAATTCAACCATTCCCCGGCCGGGGGAAGGTCAATGGGGAAAAAAGGAGACATATGTACTACTATTTGTAATACTTTAAACAATAAAATAAAATTTTTAAAAAAATTCAACCATTCCCCAAAGTAACAGAAAGTAAATCTAATGTAACAGAGGACCAATTGGTTCTGATGAAGCTGGGGGAAAAGCAAACATAAAAGAAAGAAAGCAGTACCTTTGCCACTGCTGTTCTCCATTGTATATAGGTAATCCATGTAGAAAGCCCCAAACCTTTGCATTCCAGCTACCTCAGTATATGTCTCCTGACAACAAAGCAAACAGAAAACATGTATAGAAGAGACTTCTGAGTTTAAAATCTGGTAAGTCAAGAATCAGACACATATCCCTACAAAGAAAGTGTATCTTCAGACTTTTTGGATTTTTAAATTTATTCCATAAAAATACATTAATATAATCTTATATGAAAAAGTCAAATAATACTAAGACATATACATAGTAATACATGAAATGCTTCATCTCTTCCCATTAATCCTACAACCCAAAAGTAATTGAAATTAAAAGAGATACTTCTGCCCTAACCGGTTTGGCTCAGTGGATGGAGCGTCAACCTGAGAACTCAAGGGTCCCAGGTTCGATTCCGGTCAAGGGCATGTACCTTGGTTGCGGGCACATCCCCAGTGGGGGGTGTGCGGGAGGCAGCTGATCGATGTTTCTCTCTCATCGATGTTTCTAACTCTCTATCCCTCTCCCTTCCTCTCTGTAAAAAATCAATAAAATCTTTTTTTAAAAAAAAAAAAGAAAAAGAGATACTTCTATGTTTCCTCCATGACTATTTTAACAGTACGGAGTGGATAAACTAACTGTAGCTGCATACCACAGAAAAGTAGAGACCTTATGAACTCCTCAAACTTCTCAGGCTATAGAAACTGGATGAAAACATTCTAAATGTCTCAGTAAACAAATAGCCTTAAGAATATGTTAGATGAGAAGAAAGATAACAATAATAAATAGTCATATAAGATGCCCACCCAAACACAGCCTAGAACTTGGCTCAAATATATATTCTCTGACCTTATGATGAGTTGCATCCAAGATAAATTCTGCACGAGTACCATTATTTTCTGGGCTTCGGTAATCAAACAGTGAATTTGTAAGGTATGTCAAGCCTTTCATACTCAAATTTTCACCACAAATGAAGAAACAGGCTTCCTGAATATAAATGCAAAAATTTTTAACAGGAGGAAAAATCATTAGACCATTTAAGAAAATGAAACCTTGGTTTTATAACACCCATTCAGTAGTCAGTAGAAATCACTACAACTTGAAGTCCTGTAAAAAGACAAGAATGCTGTCTCTATTTTCACTGCCTATTTTGGCAAAGAACATTTTAACAAACCAAAAAGGAACTCCAAGTAGCTGCTATAAACAAGAAAGAAGTAACATTTATGAATTGGAAAGTATTTGGAGCTACTGTCCAGGTGTTAAGTGCTACCAACTTTCTAAATTCCCCTGAGCTCTATAATTTCTTACAGGGAAAACAGTTAAAGTTCCTCTCTCAAGCCAAAGATATATGCAGTCTCACAGACTTTTTGGTATGGTTAAACACTTCAATAAGCACTTCATTATCCCTGCATTCCATCCAAAAAAAGCAGGAAAGGGAAGATTTTGACTTACAGTTTCACTCCTATTCATATTCTCTTCAAAATCTTTAACACCCATAATTCCTTTAAGGCACATGGCTCTGCAACCTACAAAACCAATCTGGCAATCAAAGAAAGGCTCTCCCATCATAAGGGCCTATAAGAGGAAAGGAAATAGAACTAAGAACTTGAATTTCATAAAAATGTTACAGGTTTTCCTAAATTTCTAAATCAGTTGAAACATCTTTAGAACAGAGCCTTTTCAAATTTATTTTCCTCAGATCATAAATCCTATGAAAGTAAGAAACTTCTTACTTGTCCCTGTATCCTCAAATGACTGGCACTTCATGAACACTAATGCATACATACATATGAGCACACACAAGTTAAATGAAAAAAATAAATTAATGTTGCAATTATAGTAAAACCTTTGTTAAAAAAAAAATTATTTCAACTAATACTACTAACCACTAAAACAGAAATACAAAACTATAAATATATTTTAAACATACCAATTGTGATTAAAACATATATTCATTCAATACTAACTTTAAGAACTGTCAAAAGATTTTAAAAATACATGTTAAATGTTGAAAGATTACCTTACCTCAATTGTGGTTCCTTCTTGTTCCCAACACAATACTTCTTTAGAAGTTACTTTTTGAGGGCTATAATAACTACTTTCAGCTTGCATTTCAGTGAGCTAAGAAATAATATAAGAATGTTAAGTCAAATTAGTATTAAACGGCAATAAACTGTCATTATTATGATGGATTAATGGAAACAAGGCCAATTTTAAGATTTGGGAAATTTAATTATTAAGCAGGAAAACAAGTGCAACGAAAACAGCTCTAACAGATTATCCATGGCAAAAAGGTTGAATATGCTAGTCTAAGCTCAGATAGATAAATATAAGGTGGTATAGGTATTTAAATTAACTCCTTTTTCTTAACAATCTTGCTTTAAAAGGTGAAATCTGTGCACCTATAACAGTTCCATAGTTATAAAATGGTTCATATATTCTGCCAAAGTTTTTATATTTTAACCTCAATTTATTTTATATTCACTAATATATTCAGCCAGGTTTATTTCAATCATTTCCAAGATTTCTCCCCATTTGTAACCAAAAAGAAAGCTGTGAGAAAACACAAATAGAGTCAACAAAACTCTAGTTCTATGAAAGAAACAGGTTCATAGGTGTTTATTTTCAAAATATGTGTCTCACAGTATGTCTGACTCATTCAATCATGCAACAAATAACTAGATAACAAGTACGAATCTAGATGCTGACAAAAGAAAAAAAATATTCTTGTTCCCCTGAAGCTTACAACACATTATTTGTATGTATCCAAAAAATTAGATAAATTATTTTAAAAGGTAGTTTTCTAAATGCAATGTGGTATCCTGGTTGGGATCATGTACCAGAAAAAGGACATTATGAAATTCAATTAAAGTCTGGAATTCAACAGTAATGCACTAATATTGGCATCCTGGGATTGACAAATGTACTGTGAAAAGTAAAGAGGCTAACAATACGGGAACTGTGTAAGAAGTATATGTGAACTTTCTGTACTATCTCTGAAACTTTTCTGTATATCTACAACTATTCCAAAATAAAAATTTTAAAGGGTATTCTGCCCATGTTTGCTAATGATTCAGTGCCCCTTATTCTTGTGAAATGGATATAAATTCTTCAACCTTAAATATAAAGTCAACATAAAAAAGAGAAAAACATGTTTAACTTAGTCAAATAGAATTTATTGAACCAAAACGTTTATCATTTTAAGTATGATCTTTTTATACTGAGAATCAACTAATTATTCTCACTTTTTATAACAAAAATATTTTTATATAAGCCTTCGTTTCTTGGATGCTTCCCAGAACTGGTACACACACATGTTGCTGTTTTCAAGTGCAATTCCATAATCTAAAATGCATAAGTAAAACTGAATATTTTAAGCTTAATCACCTTTCAGCTGTCTGCAATTATTGTACAGAACAAGCAATTAATTGATTAAAAGGACTCAAACATTACAAGAACAATTTTCAACATTATTTTTTAAATGCTACATTTAATTTGGCATGATTTTTGTTGGATTGATATCAACTGTTCAGAATGCTAATGTAGAAACATGACCTTGTTTTCTGATCGAAATATGAACCACAAATTAATTCCATACATTCTTCAAATACAAGTTGAACAATGAATTCTAACATTTTCCTCTAATGTTGATAAATATCAACATATTTCCCTTAGAGAAACCTTACAGAGAATAAATGTTGCAAATTTTTCAAAAAATATATTAACTAATGACAAACAGTGCCCCAAAAGTCTATTACAAGTTTTATATATAAATGCCTATTGACTCAGTTTAATACAATTCTTTCTCATCCATGAAGTTAACAGAAATATACCAAATTAATTTCACATTTAAAATAGGCAAAAATCACCAGAAAAATTACCAGCAATCCTTGACATCCTTCAGCAACTTAGATTAAAAATAACTTCCTGCCTGGCATCAACAATGGTTGAGCATGAACCTGTGAATCAGGAGTCAGGGTTTGATTACCTGTCAAGACACATGCCCAGGTTGCAGGCTCGATCCCCAGTCTGGGGTGTGCAGGAGGCAGCCAATCAGTGATTCTCTCTCATCATTATGTTTCTATCTCTTTCTCCCTCTCCTCTCCCTCCCTCTCTGAAAACAATGAAAAATGTTTTGTTTTTAAAAACTTCCTAATTTGGATCATGTAAAACTGGCAATATATCTAATAATTGACAACAGTTGGCTTTTAATTACATTTAAAGACATTATTGTTTTATCATTTTATTTTATTTTTATTGATTTTTATTGATTTTTTACAGAGAAGAAGGGAGAGGGACAGAGAGCCAGAAACATCGATGAGAGAGATCAATCAGCTGCCTCCTGCACGCCCCCAGTGGGGATGTGCCCACAACCAAGGCACATGCTCCTGACCGGAATCCAACCTGGGACCCCCGAGTCCACAGACCGACGCTCTATCCACTGAGCCAAACCGGTTCAGCTGTTTTATCATTTTAATATTGCAGACTGATCCATATTCCTTTAGTTTAGTCAAAGGTAAATCAGTGAATTCTGAAGGATGTGGACTGCAATATGGGGAATATGGTCAATGGTATTGTTTGGGGGCCAGGTGTGTTTGGGGTTTCAGGGGGACCACTCTATGAAGTGAATGGTTGTCTGGCCATTGTGCTGTACGTCTGCTAGGGCATAATGGTATTGAATGTAAACTGTGATTGAAAAAACATTTTTTTTTTTAAGAAAAGCATAGGATGGACAATGTAATGAAAAGAGAGGTAGGTGAGATAAACTCAAATAACAAAATTAAAATCTATAGTGGAGACAATAACAAAAAAAGGTAAATCAATGAATTTCAATTAAAAATTTATAAAATAAAAATTTAATTTTAAGTAATAAAATAATTCAAAAATAATAAATGATGGTGCTAAAATAGTACAACTAATGAGTGCATTTTTATCATTTTCATGCAAACTTTATTAGCAAAATAAATCTTTTAAACCAATCAAATCATGACTAAAATTTTTGTTGCAACTTATTCTCTGTATTTTTCAGCTTTTGTCATTTTAGAAAATACTAAATGATTTTAATTGCAAAAGTCTTTAAAGACTATTACTTTAAAATAGTTTAATCTACCATCTGCTATAGTTATAATTTGTTTAGTTGTACTACTGATTGGAAAAAAATTATTTCAAGCAGTTAACAAACAATTCAAGCTAAATTAAAAATACCGTGAAACCAAAAACTTGACATTTTTCCACTGCTATATTTCAAGTATATAACTAGTTGCCTGGAATACTACTTTACTCCCTCAGAAAAATGCTTCCATGGAGAAAAAAAAGAAAAACACACACAAAGACAAATAAAATTGGAGAAAAAAACAATATCTAAAAGAGGATTCCAAAAATTTTAGAAGACAGAAAGCAAATGAGATGGCTGGATGATGAATGGATGGGTAGATGATGGATGGCTGTATTAATTCAACAAATATGTATTTGTTGAATATGTACCAGGCAATTTCCAAGAATTAGAGATACAACTAACCTTAAAAATTACCACTTAATGAGTGTGGTGTACCGTCAAAAAAGAATATCCATGATTCTCTGTAAAGGCTATTTAACCTTAAAAATTACCACCTAATGAGTTTGGTGTACCATCAAAAAAGAATATCCATGATTCTCTGAAGGGCTAGTATCCCTCCATACATTGATGGGCATTTGTGCTGTTTCAACTTTTTGGCCACTTTGTACGTATGGACATGTATGTGCATCTATTTGTTTCATACCATTTTCTATTCTTTTGAGGATATAAGTAGGATTAAAATTGTTGGGTCATATAATAATTCTACGTTTAACTTATTGAGGAACCGTCAAACTGTTTTCCACAGTGACTGCACCATTTTGCATTCCCACCAATCTTCCCATTTGTTTTTAACCAACTCCAACTAAGATTCCACCAGTGTCAAGTCACTGCTCTGGTCAAGTTTACCAAGCATTTCCACAATGCCAAATCCAATGATCTATTCTCACAAATGACCTGCTCCTCCTTCCACTTCAAAACATTTATGGCACTTAGCCTCCAGACAGACACTCTAGTAGCTTTTTGCCTCTATCGCTAGTCACTTATTTTCCGTTTCCCTCAGTATTTCTTCCTCGTCTTTCCAAATATTTAACATCACAGTGCCTCAGAGCTTGGTTCTAGAATCTCTCCTTATTTCTATCTATACTGATTCCAGTCTTAATAAAATCCTGATTTTAAAATCTTACATTTATACTCAGACTAAACCTCTAATCTGAAAGCGATTCATAAATCCAACCAGATAGTTCTACTTGAATATACAGTGGCCATCTTAATTTTGCCCAAAACAAAACTCCTGATATTTCTCTCAGACTTCATCCTCTCACAATCCTCCTCATCTCAGAAAATCAGAACTCAACTCTTCTAGTTGCTCAGGAGGCATCCTTGGATTGTCTTTATTTCATTTATGTCTCACAATAAAATCTACCAGGAAGTCCTGTCCTCTGGACCTACAAACATCCAAAATCCAGTTACTTTTCACCACCTCCACTTGCTACCACCCTAGCCCAAGCCATTTTATCTTTTGCTTAAAAATTGCAATCCTCTCTGTCTGCTTTTGTTCCCATATAATCAGAGTGATGCAGTTTAAAACATAACTCAGATCATTCTATAACTACTATGCTAAAAATTGTCCAAAAACTTCCTATCTCACTCAGGATTAATGACAGATCCCTAAAATGACCTACAAAATATTATAAATTATGGACCTCTCCCAACCCCGTTACCTCTCAGACCTGATTTTGTACTACTTTCACATTAGCTCAGTTTGCTGGGGACTTTTTGCTGTTCCGTGAACTATTGGAGTAGTATTTACATTTGCTATTCCCAGGATATTCATTCCCAAGGATCTACAAAGCTCCCTCTTTCACAGGTCTTTTTCTTAAATATCCCTTCCTTTAAGAACTTCCCTGATTACTCAATTTTTAATTTGCAAATCCCCTCACACCTAGTGGAAGCATCTGCTATTCCTCCTCCCTCTTTATTTTTCCTACATAATCCATGTCATCAATGACCATACTATATATCTTCATTTATTTATTTATTTTTAACAATTCAAGTTTTAAGAAGCATGATCTGTTCACTATGGTATAGAGTCTAGAGTCAAAACAGTGCCTGGCAAATAGATGGTGTTAATATATTTTTGTCAAATGAATTAGATACTGTTCAAGAATATTGCATGTATAGTAATACTATTATAAAAAGCCAAGGAATAAATAACCTAAAATTAAAATTAGGTTATATTGTAGGGGCAGAGAGGACAAAATATGATAGAAGAACACATAGGGTGCCAGAATACTATAAAATTTTATTTTTCTTAAAATAGTGTTCACTTTATTATTCTTTAACTTGAAAATATATATTGTACAATCTCTTTTGAATATATATTTTACATGCATTTCTTTTTTGTTGTTAATCCTCACCCAAGAATTTTTTTTCCACTCATTTTTAGGGAGAGTGGAGAGGAGAATGGGATGGGAGAGGGGAGGGGAGGGGAGGGGAGGGGAGGGGAGAGGAGGGGAGGGAAGGGGAGAGGAGGAGAGGAGAGGGGAGAGGAGGAGAGGAGAGGGGAGGGGAGGGGAGGAGAGGAGAGGAGAGGAGAGGAGAGGAGAGGAGAGGAGAGGAGAGGAGAGGAGAGGAGAGGAGAGGAGAGGAGAGGAGAGAGAGAGAAAGAAACAGCGATGTGAAAGACACACATAGATTGGTTACTTCCCACACGTGCACCAACTGGGGCTGGGGCTGGAATCTGCGAGCCAGGATGAAACCTTGACCAGGAATCAAACCCGCCACCCACCAAATCAGCGGTCGCCAACCAGTGGTGGTCCGTGAGGTCCAAAAGGTTGGTGACCGCTGCTTTGGTGCATGGGCCAATGCTCCAACCACTGAGCAACACCAGCCAGGGCTTACATGTATTTCTTAATGAAGTGGAAAAAACTATGTTAAACACTACTAAAAATAGAGTAAGATAAGAAATTAGACTGTCTTAAAGAGTGAAAGAGAGGTGGGAAGGCGATAAACTATATATAAACAACCCTTTTAAGTAAATTTCGTAATGAAAGAGAACACAGAGAAGAAAAAGTAGCTGGAAGGGTACATGAGTAAAAGTAAGATCATCTATGTGCATTTCTTTTTTAATAGAAATATTAAGGTATCTTTGTAAGCCAATTAAAAGATTTAGTAGGGAGAGAAAAACTTTTCAAGAAGCTGATTTTTAAAAAGAAGGAAAGTGGAGAAGGCCTTAAGAAGATAGGAAGAGACCAAAATTCAGAGATGTCATTATGAGGGGACCTATACATGAAGTAAGGATTGGTAGAATGTATCTTACATCTATTGAATGTAAAACAAACTTTATGCTAGATCCTAATTAGAAATAAAAGTGTAAATATTAAGCTGAGAGATATGAATAGCAAGAAAAAAGAAACTTACTTTGAAAGTCACTGTTGCCTTTGTACAGTAAAATCCTATAGAAACAATAGGATCCTTCAAAGTCTGAGATTTCTGCTGATGCATGGTTGATGTTGGATCATTTCCAAGGTAGTCTTCCTCACCATCATCATAACTCACAATTGCAGGCACAAATGACCAGGCCCATGATACCCATCCCTGTGACTGTTCATCCTCTTGCTGTGAATACAACTCTTGACCTTTGTACTGAGAAGGATAAGGCATATCTATTCTTGTTTCATCTTCAACACCTATCAACCAAAATAAAATGACTTTAAATAAGTCAAAAGGATTTAAATTTAAAAAATTAGGACGGTAAATTCTGTTAAAATGTATCTCCCACATATTTCTTTCTACATAAAAAGTATGAACAAATCATACATTGGTTATTATTATTTTAAACCAATAATTTAGCATTACCAACTTTAAGTTTCTATATGTTATATTGTGTCAATCTCCTTTCTTTTTTAAAATACATATATTTTTTATTTCAGAGAGGAAGGGAGACAGAGAGAGAGACACATCAATGATGAGAATCATTGATCAACTGCCTCCTCCACACCCCTTACTGAGGAATCGAGCCCGCAACCTGGGCATGTACCCTGACTGGAAATCAAACCGTGACCTCCTGGTTCATAGGTCGATGCTCAACCACTGAGCACCACAGGCCAGGCTCACTCTCCTTTCATAGGCCATAATTAATGTTATACGGAAAGCAGTTTATCACATTTTATTTTACCACATAATTTTAAATGTAGTTGATAAATAAAATTAATAAATTCATTTATTGGCATTTCACTCATTAATTTAAACAACGAAAAACCCTACTTCCCAAAAATAAGGTAGAGTGCTAAAAACTGACTTTTCTTAGAAACATAATATCAGAAAACTACAAGAAAAGTTCCCGATTCCCTGATGCACCCAGAAAAAAAAGGAGAGAGAGAATGGCAATTACTCTGGGCAAAATGCACACCCCCCAAAAAATAACTACCCCAAAGGATGAAAGCAAATGTTATAATGAAATTATTCTTATATAGTGTAAAGAAAATAACAGCGTTGGTGACTCTTATTAGCATGTAAAACATAAATTAGTATCTTTTCTTATTCTACAGATGAAAAATTATAGCAAACAATTTTTATTTGGTTACAAATTAACAGAGATAAAGGTTTAAATTCCAGCTGCTTTTATTCCATCTTGTAAAGACAAATTCCACCAGTCTCTTAACATTATTGCATCTCAAGGGCACATGCCCGGGATTGTGGGCCCGATTCCTAGTAGGGGACGTGCAGGAGGCAGCTGATCAATGACTCATCATTAATATTTCTATCACTCTCTCCCTTCCTCTCTAAAATCAATAAAAAATATATTTTAAAAAATAATAATTTACTAGGAAATCTC